AAAGCCAACCTAAACTACATAGTGAGATCTTGTTTAAAATAAAATAATTTTTTAAAAAAACCCTAAGACCTGAAAGAATATATCTGCATATATGATATCTAAGTAAAAGGCTAATATCCAGAATATATAAGAAATACTTACAGCTACATTATAAGAAGACAAAATTCCAACTTAAAAACAGGCAAAAGACAGCAGAGAATGTAGCTCAGTGTGGAGGACCACCTGAGCAGCTCTCCTTGAAAGAAGAGCGACTGTCTCCATTTTGACTGAGCCTGACCCTATTTCCTCATATTGTTCTGTACAGAGCTGGCTAGGACTTCTGTTTATCCTTCAATTGGCCTTAAGCAATGTATATTGGTCTAGCTGAGGTGTGGGTGATAGTCGTTGAAGGTGGCCTACGTGTTTCCCTGGTAACCTAAACCTGCTGCTCTTTAATGTGAGCCGGGTCAAGACAAGACGGTAGAGCTAATGCTCTGCAGTGCCAGCTGGGATCTGGGATCGAGCCTAGAGATAGAGGCTATGACTTCCTGGGGCTTGAAAGATTACATCAAAGCTGAAGCACCAGATTTACCAAAACATTAGATACTATATAATGCAGATTACTCTCTCTGCATATCGCAGGGTAAATTTAGGCCACCCACCTAGCTCAGCTCACAATGATCACCAACTTCCCACAATTCTCAGTCAATCCTCCTCAAGCCACTCTCCCACTGAACAAAAACCGGGTGAGGCCCTGGGTCACGCTTTTGGTTCCGGAAAGCCATCTTCATGGCTGGACTTAGAGCCCCTTGACTTCCCGATGATTGAAAATATAATTTAGTATCTTTATTTTCCCCGTGGGTTGTATTGTAAGTGGTAGATTGGAATCAACTTGATGGGATTCCAATAACGTAACTTTGGGATTATAAATATTGGCTTCTTGGACAGAGATGAGGACCTTGAAGCAACTTCTACAGCTCAGCAGTAGAACACTTGCTTCATGTGCATGAGCTCCTAGATTCAATCCTCAGCACTGGGGGAAAAAAAATAGATAGAAGGATACAGGTGTAGTGCCAGAGGCCTAAAGTCCCAGTTACTTGGGAGGCTGAGACAGGAGAAATGCTTGAGCCCAGGAGCACAAGGCCAGCCTGGGCAACACAACAGGCAACTGTCTCAAAAAAATTAAACACTTCTCCAAAAAGTAAAAACTAAATAAAATAGACACTTCTCCAAAGAACATTAGAGGCCCAGTAAACACATGAAAAGATATTCAACATTATTAATCATTAGAGAAATGCAAACAAGGCCACAAGCTACCACTTCACACTCACTAAGATGACTAAAATTGGAAAAACTGGAAATAAAATGTTTGCAAGAAAGTGGAGAAATCAGAAGCTTCATACATTGATAGCAGGAAGGCAAAATACTGCAGCCACTATGAAAAACAATTTGGCAGTTCCTCAAAAGTTAAACATAGACTTGTCATATGACTTGACAGTTCCACTCCTAATATACACATTAGCAAACTGAAAACACATTACTCACATGAAAACTTATACATTATTATTCATAGCAGTAATCCCATAATAACTAAAAGATGGAAAGAAACCAAACGTCCATCAACTAATAAATGGATATACAAAATTTAGCATACCTACATGATGGATTATCCCATCATTAAAAGGAATCAAGTACTGATACATCCTACATCGGTGAACCTCAGAAATATTTTTTAAAAAGCCCAACACAAAAGGCAACACAGTATATTGACTCAATTTATATGAAATATCCAGAATAGACAGATCCATGCAATCAGAAAGTAGATTACAGTGTAGATGGGAAGGCAGAGGTCTGGGGAGAAGGGATTTTTGGAGGAGGATAATAGAAATCATCAGAAAATAAACAGTGGTATGCCTGGGGTGATAGCTCAGTGGAAAAAGTATTTGCATGGGAAGCACAAGGGCCAGGGTTCAATCCCTGGTACCACCAAAAATAAAATAAAATAAGCAGAAGTGATGAGGGCACAACATCCCAAGTATGCTAAAAACTACTGAACTATACTTTTCAAAATGATTTAAATGTGGGATTTTATTTTTGTTGAATTTTTCCTTAATAAAGAAAATTTAAGAGCCAGGTGTGGTGGCACACATCTGTAATCCCAAGTACTCAGAAGGCTGAGGCAGGAGGATGGTTTCAAGTTTGAGAGCAGCCTGGACTACAAAGTGAGCTCAAAGCCGGGCCTGAACTGCACAGCAAGACCCTGTCTCAAAAAGACTGCCCCCCCCAAAAAAAAATAGAAAAAAAATTTAAGGAAAACTACATGTATAAGTGAATTTTACTGAAAGTGGTATCATTTATATTGATAATAATACACTGATGAGAATTCAAAGTAAAGAGAAAAGTCCAAACTGAAAAGGCAGGAAGAAGAAAGTGGAACCACACCTCTGGAAGACTGGTTCCCACATAAACGCAGATGGCCAAACCTGAGGCAAGCCAGGCTTGACCTTGAGCATTACCCTGGAGGCTGAGCTCACAGTGGAGCCTGGTCCTTTACCTCTGGATAAATCCAACACAGAAGTGGAAGAAATGCCAAGAAACCACTGGCAGTTCTATCAGCTTTTAAAAAGAACAAAAACAAGCCACTCCATAATCACTAATTTACAACAGTAAGAATGCATTGTTTCTCTTGACTCCATGGGTTGGTTGGGTCATCCTGGCCCGGAAGTCTACTGTGGGGCCACCCTCCCACTTCTGGCGCTTCCAGGCAATCAGCCAAGAATATGTGGCTTCTTTGGCAGGATGACTTGAGCTTGCTCAGATGGTATTTAGGGTTCAAAGAGCAGCAGGAGAAATCATCCCCCAAACACAAGCATTTCTCACCTTGTAAGTCTTTATAGTTGCTCTTGCTTCAGCAGTCAAAGCACACCATGTACCATCAAGCCCAGAACCAAGGGAGGAGTGGCCATTCAATGGGAGGAAATACCCAGAGGGGATTTATAAAGAGCTTTTGCGAACAATCTAACCTAGGGAAAAATAAATTTTTATTTTAGCTTCTTCAATTTTTTTTATTGATTTGGTTTAGCACAGTAGTTGGCTTAGGCCTCAGTACCAGTTTGTGTGAACTGGTATTGCTTTATTCATGGCAACCACATTCAGCACTGTGAGACCTCAGAAATCTCTCGAGTGAGTAGCAGGTTCATGGACACACACTCTCTAGCGCACACGTTCACACAGAGCAATGGTAAGAACCACCCGCACACTGAACTGCCTCTCTATCTTCTTTGCTGGCCCACAAAATTAAATTCTTTTGCTCAAATTCACATATGCCACAGTTCTACTACACACTGACAGTCATGTACTCCAACTGTCAAATTTGAAGTTTCCCAAAATCCAGGAAATAAAAATGCCTTGTAGAAGAGTGACCTTTTTATGGTATCAATTTATCAAAAGAAAAAATTTCCCCATCCCTACATCGAAGAACAGACGATGGTATCTAAGGGACGATGAAAGACGTTAGTAGAGATATTTGCCTAAAACTTACAAAGATATTTCTCACCAGGCTACTTCTGACATTAGTGCTCGATAAAGCTTTAGTAAATAAGGCCTAATAAATTAGGCATTTCTCATAAGCTGGGTAGATAGGTTACTTTCTGGTTAACTCAGAAACACCAATAAAGTGGTTGGAGAGATGGCTCAATAGAGTAAGCGCTTCCCTAGCAAGCGCAAAGGTCTGAGTTCAATTGCTGGTTCCGTCAAAAAAAGAAAAAAGAAAAGAAAAGAAACACTAATAAAGTACACAAATAAGTAAATAAGTAATGTATCTTTGGTTGATATATGTTAAGTATCATCTCAAGTTCATTTTTGGCAAAGTTGAATGAAATTCAGTTTAAAGTTTATTCTCCAATATACGCAAATATGTAAATCTTGTGTTAATAATATAATGGAGCATTATGTAAACTCCACTGTTCCATTTTTAAAAAGCTAATCTGTACCTTTCGAATAGGTCAGATAGCTCACATGTACCCAGCTGAATGTGCCAGTGTAACAGAAAACAACAACTGTCTCCAAGACCAATAGCTCCACACTAGAAGCACTGGGATTTTGAGATTTCAACTTATCTAACTGAAGCCCTGCTTCTTAAGCTCGTGGAAACTTCTGCTAATGTACCTAAGATTATCAGATGTATTAGTGAGCTTCCCCATTGCTGGGTCAAAATACCTCACACCCACAACTTAAAGGTTAAAGGAGAGGTTTATCTTGTTGAAGAGGGTCAGTGGTTGGCTGGCTCTGAGGCAGAAGCCACACGATGAAAGGGAATGGTAGAGAAAAGCTGCTCACTTCATGTAGCTGGAAGGCAGATCACACAGGAAAAGCACCAGACAGAAAGGGGCCAGGCACCAGCCAGAGTCACCAAAGTCGTGCCATGATCCCCTTCCTCCAATGAAGCCAACCTCCTAAGAGCCCATTGTTGCTGCTCCTCACAAGCCAATCACCTCTGCAGCTCTCTAAAGACAGTCAAACTGACAATCAAAATTAACTAGATTTAGAATTATAAGACCCAGGCAGGTATTTTTAGTACTGTTTGTGCCTAATAATAATTATTTGTGCCTAATCAAAAACTCAGAAGCAGACCAGCAATACATGCATTGTTCAGTTCATACTATGAATTACCAGATAGACACTAATATTTTAAAGTAATTGTGGCAGATTGCCAACTGCTGGTCAACTTGTTATACCCTGCTGACCTGAACTATGGTACTGGGTGTGGGAAGCTCACCAGAGGATTGTTGCCCGCAGCATAAGAGGCAGAGCTCGAGAAGCTGTTGGGAGGTGTTAGGGAGGCTGTTTGTAGAAGCTGTTGGGAGGCTGTTAGGAAGCTTCAGCTTCTCTTGGGCTATTCCACTGGAGGACCTTGTCCTGCTGGCTTTTCCGATGAACCTGGCTGCCTTTTCTTTTCTTTCTTTTTTTAAAAATGTATTTAGTACAGTGTCTACAAGTCTTTCTACAGATTGGACTCAAGAGTGATCCTCCTGTTTTCAGCCTCCCAAGTGCTGCGAGTACTGGTGCGCACCACCACACCCAGTCTCAATTGCCATCTCAGCATGCCCTGGGGGTGGGGCTGGCATGGCATGCTGGGGATTGAACCCAGGCCCCTGCATCTGCCTAAACAGGCACTTTAGTCTGCTGAGCTATCTGGCCAGCCCTGAACTGGCTATTTTGGCTGTTTTCATCAGAGGAAGAGCTTGAGATCTTTTATCACTGAGGCTGGCTGTGGTTCATCTTGAGGGCACTCTAGTCTCCACTGTGAGCATTGCTTCCTGGCTCTGGAGGGGAAGATGGTACACCGCTCTGTCTCTGGAGAAGCTAGTCATGTTGGCTTTCCTGAGGGGAACTCAGGTTTCCCTGTCACTGGAGGAGCTCGGGCCCTCACTGCTGCTGAGTACAGCTGTGGTACTTTTCAGAGGTGCTCTGGATTTTACCTCAAGCATTACTTCCTGGCTCCAGTGCAGATCCCTCAGCTTGCTAGCACAGGCCCTTCATTCCCTGTCACATACTATCTAGCTGACCTTTGGGTCTTCCCAGTGTGGATTCATGTAACAGACCTGCATGAGATATTACTGTGGACTCTAGGCTTCCAGTTGGACTTGTGGGAGGCATTATGATGAGCTCAAGGTCTTCAGCTGGATTCATGTAGGACATTACAGTGGGATCCAGGCCCTCAGCTGGATTTTTGGCCTTTAGTGTGTGGGCTGATTTCCTATACTCTCTTTTTGTATAGGATTCTTTGGGTGACTATTATAAACATTATAAAATATGTGTCCTGTATTGTATTGTTCCCCTTGCAAAACCCCGAACTACAACAGAAACGAAACAGCAAGGTAGATGGAAGCCACTCCCAGGCTGTTAACACACTCACAGCTGGGTACTTACTCATCTCTCCACACAACCAGCCACCTCAGCTACCACACAAAGGACACATACCAAGATGGCAGACACTTTAGTAAATATTAGCTCAAGGTATTCTTGTCCATAACCAATAATATCATTTATTTTATATATTTGCTTTACCTTTCATCTTAAAATTGAAGTTACACTGATTTAAAAAAGCTATAAAAAGTAAAATTTATCACTGAGCCCAAATTCCAAATGCATACCTTGTTTGAGATCTACTAAATTGTACCCTAAGGTCTTTCAGTTTATGCATAAATAATATTTGCATTCCAGGAACAACTGGTTCTTTACATCAAGCAAAAAAATCAAGGCATGACAGTATAAGAAACTAGACAAAAAAGAACGTTAATTCACAGTTCCTCCTTAGCTCTGTCTGAAATCTGCCCAACATTTAAACCACATCAAAATTGAAGAAACCACCCCTGAGAGCAGTGGTGTACACCCATAATCCCAGCACTTAGGAGGCTGAAGCAGGAGGATTGCTGTGAGTTCAAGGCCAGAGTAGGCTACATAGTGAGTTCAAGGCCCGTCTGAACTACATAGTAAGACCTTGTCTCAAAACACAAAGCAAAACAAACAAAATGTACTAATAAAAAGGACTGGAAAAAAAAAATCCAAAGATCCAAATTTGCCAGCTTCAACTATCACCATTAGCAGAGTTGAGCACGCACTATAGAGACGTTGCCGCTCCCATGAGGTCGGGCCTCAGTGCTGTCAGCTGAGTGACTCCGATCCGTCTGCACTCAGACTGCGCACACTTGCTGTCCCTGGTTGGTGGCTGAAACTGTCCCAGTAGTGTATGTACCCTTTCATTCCAAAACTAAAAATAAAATGCAGAATAGATGCCCCTGAAGAAAACAACATTCTGACTAAATTATATTTTAAATTCTCCATTCCTTCCTCTTACCATCTCACGTAGTGTCCTCTCTTCTACGCACACCATCCTTTCCTGCTCCTGAGCACAAGCAGATCTTTTACACTCCAAAATATGAACCTGTCAGCAGCCCTGCTTGTACCTCCAAGTACCATGCTATTTCTGAGTCTCTTTGTATCAAGAAGTCTTAAAAATAGATCTTTGCTGTGTCTTCTTCCCACCCCACATGATTTCCTCAAGCTCACGCCCACTGGGCTTCTGCCTCGATCTTTCCACCATGATGATATTGGCTAAGTCATGCAGAACCCACGTGCTCCCAGAGCCAGTGGCCATTTCTCAGTATGTAGTCTCCCAGTGGCACCCGACTTACACCCTTCAAATGCTTGGTTTCTCACAGTGCTCTGTCACACTGCTAGATTTCTCTAACCTTAACAGGCTTCCCTTCTCGGTCTCCTTTTCAGCTGTCTTCTCCCTTTCTTTACATCTAACCACAGGGTGGACGCCAGGGCTTGCTTTGCTTCATTATCTATATGTCCTCCTCATGCGTGGCCTCATTTAGTTCCATAGCTTGAAATACCACCCACACATTGCCACCTCTGCAGTCTTCATGTTTAGTCCCTAGCACCTCACCTCCGCCTCTCTCCTCTATCTCTCCCCTGTCTCTTCCTTCTCTCTCCTTTCTCTTCTCCTCTGCCTTCCTCTCTCCCTCTCCCATCTCTCCCTTTCTCCCCTCTTTCTCTTTTTCTTTCTCCCCCATTCTTCCCTTCATGAAATCTAATTCATGTTTTGGGACTTTACCTTCAAAATATTTTATGAACTGATTCCAGTCGCTTTCACCCCTCTCCCATTAGCATAATAAATTGACTGCACTAATGGTTTTGAATTTTCATAGCTCTTCTATCTTTTCATAATTTCACAGTGCTGTCCCATAATGACTGTGGATGCATTTATTAACTTGGTGTGAACAACAGGACAAAAGCAAACTTAACACAAGCTAAAACTTAAAAATATATTTGCTTGTTTCTACTTCTCTTGCTTGTTTAAAATTGCCATGAACATATGACTGGACCAGCCTGAGAATAAGGCTAAACTAGCATACTAGAAGGACGAAACATAAGTGTGGGAAA